AGAAGTGGGAATACTCCTGTTTTCCGTAAGGAAAAGAAAAGCCCTTTCAGAGGGAGCCTTGGGGCTCATTTGCACTCACAGCCCGATGCCTTTGCTTTACAGTCTGAGGAAATGTGGCTTCCCCAAATGACCAGGTGGGTTTGTTGTGTGCGGGCTACAGTGGGGGACTGGGAGCAGGCAAAGTTCTTGTCTTACACCCCCGCGATAGACCTGTTTATATATAGCCCAAATATACGTCTGTGTCTTTCAAGGGCTTTATTGGTATCAATAGCCAGAAAACACAAACTTCCTCATAGATTTTTCTCCCTGCGAGGATCTATTTTAGGGCTTTCCTTTTAAGGCTTCCTGTGTACCAGACCTTATATTTCTTGATCCCAAGGCGCCCTTCCAAGACCCACTTATATTGATTTCTGTAGCTCCAGAAAAAGCCATCTGCCTGCGTGCACTGTCCTTCCCATGTCTCTTTATGCACCTGAGTTGAGACTGATTAAAGGAGACTTCTGCATTTCTCTTGCAGGAGCTTAGATCCTCACACCTCATCCCAGAGCYCTCAGTGTGCTGCTCTGCCCCTTGCCAGAATGAGACTCTTTGGGCCCTTCACGCCTCCCGTTGCTAGCCTAGCCTCACATTGAACGTGAGGTGGATTGTCTTTGCACAAAGTGAAAAAAATCTCCAAACCTAGCGCTAGCATTGCAGGTGCTAAGGGACAAAGTCACTCAGCGCTCTTCCTACAGGAAAGGTTTTGCCAAAAACTGTGCGTCTGCAGCAAAATGCTTGACTTGCCTTCCCTTAAATACATTGGCTACACAGAGAGACGTGTGGGTTTAGTCCAGCTGAGTTGCTTCTGTGCCAAGGATCATGGGCTCACAAGGACCCTTAGTTGCTTCTGTCTCCTTGGGACAGAGGAAAGTGACTCTTTCATGGGCAGCAGTGAACAGAAAATGTGTCCGAATAGCAACGAAGGCTCTGGAAGGCCTCCCCTGGCTGATGTGTCTTACCTACGGCAGAGAGGATCCAACAATCCAAGAATTTTTCCACTGATTTGGAGGAATCTGTTTGCTCTGCTCTTTCCTTTGGATCTGGTTACAATATGCAAGTTATGCCCAAGGAAGTCATGGTAGAAGTCTGGGGAAAGCAAGGGAATTTTTCCTAAGACTCTGCTCTTCATGTCACTCAGGGAGAAGACATCTTTAACGCCAATACCTTACTTTTGTGGGAGATCTCAGGTCTGCCACGTTGCCATGTGTCTCTGCTGGCATCCTTTCTGCCCGGTCCGTGTGAGGAGCGCGGGGCCGTGGTTGGGCCCATGGCTGGTGTGCCCTGCAGGGTCCTGCTAGGGGAGGTGCACTGCAACCGCCGAGGAGCAGCTGGGATCCCCTGGAGACTGCTGCTAGCGCCGAGGCAGATGCATGAGGCCGGGCATAACACCCTGGCAGTGCAGGTGGTGTGAGGTGCCTGTGGCTAAGATACAGGGAAGGGCTCTTGGGCATCGTTAAGTGCTGCACGTAAAGAGGTTAGCAAGAAATATTTTGCAAATTAGGAACTACCGAGGCAGTTGCAGGATCAATACRCATTGATCCCGATTCCATCTCGTTCATTGATACTTAAACTGAACCTTCCCRTTTAACAGTGAGATGGATTTTCAATCACATCTGAAAACACATCAGAAGGGCTGAAGAAGCAAGCAAGCTATAGAGAGCCCAGGCAGGTGAGCATCAGATAACTACCCTTCTTCTGATGGCAAATCCTTTACAAACGTCTTGTAATTTCATAAATGTAGTTGTGCTCGAATGCAAAAAGAGGCTGGCGCTGCTGCTGCCGGGCGTTACGGGGGCTGCAACCTGCTGGTGCGCCTGGCGCCGTGACGGAAACCTTGGCAAGGTACCATGGTAACATTTCCATAGGCACGTTCACGGGTTGTTTGAGGTTTTCTGGTTAAATGTCAATGTTTTTATATTATTCAAGGAGATTTTTGTTGCTTCAAAATCCCACTGTTCCTTTGAATAAAACCTCCTTCAGTCGGCAGCTTSCTGGTGAAAAATGTCTGTTGTAACTGCTCGGGGCTGGGGAGCAGCGTTGCTGCTGAGGGCTGGGGGTTAGTGCATGGCTCTTTCCCGTGGGGCAAGAGCTGGGGCCTCGTCCCTGTCCCTGCCCAGCGTGGGCACCTCGCCACGAACTCAGCGCCCTGAAAYGGGAGGGACCATCGGCTGCCCACGGGAGCCTCCCGCCTGGGCGCGGGGCCGTCTCAGCGCTGCTTCCCATCTGCTGCACCARAGAGGTGCAAATACGTCTGCAGTCTATAAGTGACCGCAGTCGRTAAGCCTGCCTATAGAGTGCTTATAGAGCATGAGGAGCGGCCGCAGCCATGCTCAAGGTTGCTGTGTTTCTAGCATGGCCATTCTGGTTAAGTCCTTGAGATAGGGCGTAAGGAGCGTGGTCCCTCAGACRATGGTTACCACTGTCTTTTCATTAAGCTCTTGGTGTTTCAAAATCTGCTTTTTTAAAATTTCTTTCCACTGGTTTTCCCACAAGCAAATCCAGTTTTTGCCATTTTCTGCCACCAGTGTCAGCTCCATTTTGGTAGCATGCGCTCCTTCTGCAAGAGGTTTGAGCTGCTGAATGCTCCAGAAGGGCAACTCTGCACACCGGTGTAGATGTCTGGCTTGGGAGCTGATGCTGATTTTGGTTGTAGTATCTTTTGTTAAAGCTGTAAGCCAGCTGAGACATCCTGAATTCCCAAGGCTCTACAGGGTTTCCTATGAAAAATATTGGAGTATTTTTAAAATGCCATATTCAAGCAGTGGAATTAAATCCAGGATTTCTTGCTGTGGTGTAGTCTGGGATTTTCCCCCCTCTCCTGTATTAAAATGCTTTTCTGCATCCCAAGTGGGAGCTGATTTCAAGCTCTTCAAGCCTCAAGGGAGCTATGTTGTCGTGGGTTTTAAGTGGTTGTAGAGGCAAAAGCTCCATGAGAGGATTTTGGGAAGACTTTAATAAACCTCTGCATGTGGAAATGCAAGATTTGCTGTTACTGCATTGTGTGCAGAAGCTGGGTGAAACCAGCCRCTTCCACACGGGGCTGCATTCCCTTGGTCCGGGTGGCTGGTGCAGGCGGGGACCATCCTGCTCTCCTGCTCCATCCTGCAGCCCAGGTGCTCCCCAGCTCACGGGCTATGCAGGGCAAGCTCATGTGAGAGTTTCTAGGAGTGTGTTTTCAACCTCTTTCTACTTTGATAGGATTTGGAAGATCAGTGCAATGACCCTTGCATCGCACGTGTGATTACGGATAAAAATCATGGTTCAATTATTGTGTGAATCGTTTATTGTGGGATGGGAAGCTAATGAGGATTGTGCAAACTGCTGGGAAAGTTTCTCCATTCCCACTTGTCAGGAGCTAGAGTAGCACCAAAGTTGGCATCTGCTATGTGCCTTTCTATGCGTAGGTGAAATACCTGTCTTGGTAGTGCAGAGCAGTATACTGGAATGAAATACATTAATTGGTAAGTGCTGGGAAATTACAGATATGCCTGATGAAAAAGAAAACCTTGTTTACAGTTTCTAATGTGCTGCTGAAGAAACTGGCTCCCAAATAAAAATACTTAAAATTAAGATTAGGATTTATTTACATAATTACTGCAAAAGAAATTCTAAGTATRTGCTAAGTAATGCAAGAGAAACCTTGTGGCTTTTCTGCTGCTCCTCCCTGTGTCTTGAGGTTACTTTTGCTCTTTGTGCAAGTCTATTAAAGTTTTTCTAACTCAATGAGGCAAGAAGCCATTTGTTATAGAATTAATATTTGTATATACACTTGTTTTATTGACTGTGGTAAGAACATATGGCCGTGTAAAAGCGAGATCATCCTTACTGCTGTTGCYGAGGATGACTCAGTAGGTGGCACTTACCTCTTCATGGCAAAGTGAGCCCATATCCCGGCATGGCTGGAGTGGGAATGTCCTTGGAGTCTGTTTCTAAAGGTGCTATATCCCCCGCTGGTATAAATTAGATCTGCCAAATTTGCCATATAAATTTGTATTAATGATCTGTTCCAAACTGTACTGCCCAGTGTGTCCTGGACACTTTCCAGTTTCTGGGGAAGCTCTGGGCCAGATCCTCAGCTGATGTCTGTGTAKATCTGTTGACTCTCTTGATTTATATCTGCTGCAAATTTACAGTATGAAATGCAATAGGCCTGTGATGGGGCTGCACTGATTGAAACCAGCCAAGGGTATGACAAATCTTCCCCTTAATATTTCAATTGACTTTGGCAAACTTGCTTCTTTCTTGTGTATCCTAAATCAATGTGTAAGTGATGCTGACAGTAATTTCCACTTTTGTCTGTGCAGATGGCTGCCCTTCACTAGGCTGCGGTGTTTATACCTGCTAAGTTTGCAAACATTTGCTGCTAGTCTCCCAGTGAGCAGTATTTTTCTTTAGCTGTCATGGTTATGAAATTAAAATGGGAATTTTTTTTTCCAGCAAAGGCCACTAGAGTCCAAATCTGAAGCACTGGTGTCAAGTGCATCTCCCTGAGCACTGATGCTCTGAGCAGGGCATTTGATCTGTCTAAAGGACTCAAAGGCTTGGGAGTGGGGTCTGAGACCCTTGGGGTCTTTGACGATCTTGCTTCTGGCATCTGTGGCTTCTGCAAACCATGTAATTAGCGTGTGATCACAAATCTCTGCAATATTGGTTCTAGAGAATAATTTTCTAGGACACTTTTTTTTTCTTTTTTTGTCTCCACTAAGTCTTGTTCTGTGTTTAATTTTTTTTTTTTTTTTGTCTTTTGCTAAAGCAAAATCTTATTTTAGCTCCTGTTTTAGGCACTAAGTAGAAACTGCAATCTATCAGTCATGCACTAGACTTCTGCCCATGTTCACCGTTCAGGGATTCAGAATGCCTTCGTCTGGCCACTCTTTCAAGACAAGCAGTTATGGTGTGGAAAAAAAAAAATAGGCAAATAACTAAAATAAGCTTTTCTCTTCCCTTCTGCCTTGTTCCCAGGGAGAAGATGCCATTCCACCATGTAACAGCTGGCTTGTTGTACAAGGGCAACTACCTGAACCGGTCGCTCTCTGCCGGCAGTGACAGCGAACAGCTAGCAAATATCTCCGTGGAGGAACTGGATGGTGAGTGATGCCTTCAGAGCTCTCCGAAGTGGGGCTGGCAAGGGGGAAGGCTCGCATTTCTCAGAGTGGTGGCTTTGTCGCGTGGTGGCCTGAAAGGGAGCTTCCCTGTGAAGCGAGGAGTACAAGCTGTGTTGGAAGGGAAATATTTTAGCCGACTGGGGACATAGAAGACCCCAGACCAAAGTTATGTTCACTCCTGGAGGCTGATTTAGGCTCGGATTTTGCCCTTCTGCCTGGAAATAAGGCAGCTTTTGAAAGAAGGCAGCTGCTTTTTACAGGAAAAAGTTGCAAGAGACAAGGTTGTATTTTCAATAATGTCTTCTGCTGCTTTCTATAACCTGCAGCGCTGAACCTGTTCTCCTATGCAAGTCGCTCATGTGCTTTGTGGCCTTAGAAAGCGAAATTTTTCTCTGTAATGAGATATGTGGAAGGTGGCTTGTGGCTTAGGAGCCTGGAAAGAGCCTCCAGGTCAGTGACTTGATGTACAGGCAGCCCTCAGATTGGTAAAGCTGGGTTAGGCACATCTCCTGCCCATAGGATCTCCCGTGATTTCCTCTCCAGAAGCTAGTTGCTGGGAGTCCCTTTTGTCCCGGAGATAGGTTGTTAGGCCAGGTAGACTCCCAGCCTGGTTTACAGTGGAGAAGTCTCTGTTGTATGTGCTTTGTAGCTCGCCAGGGTCATTTGTAAGCAAAGTATATATTGTTAACAATAATGGTCTTTGAACACTGTGGAGCAAGTTGAAGCTCTTGGTTTGATTCCTTAGTTGGACATTTTGTAAAAAGTGATCATAATCAGCAGTCTTGACAGAGAAGCTAATGAGTATATAAACAACAACAAGATGGTACTAGGTAGGAACAGCCCTTCCAGGACAGGCTGAAAGCATTTTGGCAAAACAGAAGAGAAAAAAAGCCAGCATTTCTGCCCTCCTTCCTCTGTTTCACCTGTTGTTYCGTAAAGGAGACCTCAGTTTTCAAACTTTTTCAACCCTGGTGATTGGGATTTGGTTTTGCAAGCTTTATTTTAACTTAGAGTAAGAAGAAGCGAGACTTTCCATGAACGTTTGTTATTATTTCTCTTCTTTTCAATGAGAATGGAGTGTGAGATATTGCTTTTAGCTCAGACACCAGAAACACAGGGATTTTTTGGAGCCATTTTTCCTGATAGTTTTCCTGGGTCACCAGAGCTTTTCTTTGAGTTGGTGAGGGAAATGGTTCAGCCTCTGTGCATCCTTAAGATGAAAAATGACACTGCAAAGCGACGGTTATACACCGTCCCTATTCCGGATGACAGAGTTTGGCTGAGCCCAGGTAAGAGGATGTAGAATGAGGTCTTGCACTTGGTTTAAAATGAGGACAGGAAGGTTTTCTCTGCCATGCCTACCCTAATTGGAGCCCACCTGCTGCTGCTGCCCTCCAGGCTTGCAGAAGACTGTTAGGAGCTGGTAGACCCAGGCCAGGGTTGGCAGCAGGGCTGTGACCCTGCTCTCGTGGTGGTCCCGTTGCAAAGCCTCCCATTGAGGTACTTGTGTGGAAAATGGTTGGTGGCTGGACCCAGTGGGAGGGAAGGCTGGGATCAATACCTGAAAGCTGTTTTCGTGCCCATCCTCCTGCAAAGCCAGCGGGGAGGGATGGGGACCATGGGCCACCCCAGTGCTGTCCCCGTCTCTCAGCATCAATGGAGCTGGATGCTCCATCTGAGGGGTCCACGGGCACCAGCAGCAGCAAACCTGCCTTCCCCAAAGAGGACAGCAGAAGCYGAGCAGCTGCGAATCGCCAGCGTTAATTAACGGCAAGTGAGATGAATAGGTGTATGGGAGCAGCCTTTTGAGAAGACAGCGGCTGAGCCGCTCGCTAATGCGAACGCTGCATCCATTTAATGTTTCCTCTGCCCYATTATAGCTGTGCTATTGAGCTGGAGAGCAGCAGATTTCATTCATCTCTGCTCACAAAGAGTATCCCCCTCGTTCTTCAATAGAATAGTTAGAGCTCTTTAACTAATCGTCCATTTCTTTTCTGGTGGTGAGACACAGGCTTCTGGTYAGAATTTAGTTATACTTTTTGACAGCCTTTTGCTTTGCAAATGCCTGTTTTCAAGAGCTTTATATCTCTGCCATGAGGACGTGCYCCAGTTCTTAGTCTAGCAGAAGAGATCTCAACCTCAGGCCGTTTCTTCCCACCTGTAAGCACAGAAATGGTGCCGGATTGGATCATTTGCTCTCATGCTGGAGAAAGTGCAAGAAACTGAAGCTGAATTTCTATGTGCTTGCTACCAAAACACACTCTACCTAGCAGAAATCCTATGTAATGTTAAGCCGGCAGTCACTGTCTCACTGTGTTTTGTTGGTAGTACTGAAGAAGTGCCCGGATGTAAGAGTAACAGGGTAAGGTGCCAGTGCTCACTATATACATCTAATTCGGAAATACCCTTCCTACCTTAACGGTGAATTAGCTCAGGGTGCTCTTCCCTGAGATGATAATGTCAGAATATGGGAGCTTCATGATCTATTAAGCTGTGATAGCTCTATGCCAAAAGCATATTTGCATTTAATCATATAGAYGAGGAAAGAGCAGCCAAATTCTGCTCGTTTCCTTTTGCAGTGAGATTTTTGATCCTGAGAGAGTTCCAGCATATTGACGCCTCCCAGTCTCATATATTAAATCCCCGAGGGCTGGAAGCTCTTTCTGGGGCGAGTGGTGGGAATTTTCTATGAGGCTCCAGTGCTACACGCAAGGCTCCAGCGCAGGCCTGATCTGCTGGGCTTTTCCAGCGGGATTTTGGAATCTCACATCGCGTGTCTCGACGCCGTTGGCTCTGCAGAGGCTTTCAGAGGCTCTCAGATCCCGTGGCAAGAACGCACCGTGGAGCCTGGGTGGGAGGGAACGTGACTCTTGCTGCAACAAATACTGCCTAAAATGTTTCTTTGAAGCCCGCTGGCGATGCATGCAGGGGCAGRTGGCGATCAGGAAATGAAAAAGATTTATGTCTTCAAGTAGCATGAGCAGGAAAGACTGTGGTTTTGGGGTGAGTGTGCGCAGTCCAGAGCGGCACTTTGAGGGTGCTGCTGTGCCTCTTCTCCGGCTCATTATTTTTCTGCTATGAAAACTTCTCAGACTTGCAGTGGCCATCTGTTGACTTTAACTGCGCTATTTTTTCCGTCCTGCTTTAAATACTGCGCTGGCAGTGAAGAGGAGAGGCTGGGGAGACAGCGGGTCACTCYGATCGCCTGTCGGCAGTGTTTGCTTGTTGTGGTTCTGTAGGAGCGTGCGGGTGTTTAGAAACTGTCACGGTCACAACGGGAATTAACTCGCAGAAAGCCGTATTAGGCGATATTAAACTTTGTAACTCAAAGTAAGTGACGGAGTTGGAAGTGACAGGCCATCCATAACCTGTCTCTCGGGGACCACGAGGTGCGATGGGGCTTTAGATGAATATTATTGCCATATGCTCGGCAGTTTCTAGGCGTGAARGTATAAATTGAGTTGGAGACAAACTGTTTTACGTATAGATTTTCTGGCTATCACTGGTTGATGCAGAATTGCGGTGGTGTTTGTACGTACGCTATCCTTTCCACCTTCCTTTTAAAGCCAGCTTCTGCCTTCACATTGCAGACTGCTAGGAATATTTTTAATAAAAAATGGTGGATGGAAATCATCATGTCAAGCTTGAGTCATCCACCTCCATAGGCTCTATCTAAAGGGTATTGTCAGGAGGTAAAAACATTTCCATAGTAGGAATCTGACAAATATCACCTGAAGGGAGGCACATGCATTCTAAGTAGGCTTTGCAGAAAGCGCCTGTGAAATGCATGATAGTCAGGGCGCCTTGCAGAGAAAACCCAAATGCAGCAGTTATTTGTCCAGAAAGACATCGTGATAAATCCTAACATGACCTAGATTCCCTTGAAAACAGCAATGTCCTGCCCAACTGTGCTGCAGTTGGAAAATTGAGATGGGTACCAAGTGACGGGACCACATAACCCTGGACAAGGCAGGTCCTGTAACACCTAGAGGGCTTTAGATAGGATGGGAGATTTTTTTTTTCCTGTTTGTAGCCACCAATCCTGCTGCTTGGTGACATCCTAAAGGCTGACAACCTAAGAGAAACTCCCAAAATTTCTCTTGAGAGAAATTTAGACAGCCTGAACTGGAGATGTCAGCAGGGAAAGTGTGAATGGGCTCTGGATGCGGGAGCTTTGGGTGCTGTTCTCTTCAAAGCAAGTCTCTGGGGACCTCCTTGGTAGGAGACCTTCCTGTCACTGTGGTTTATAGGTTGCACTACGGGATGTGCTTTGCCCAGGTTCTGCCTCTCTCTCCAGCAACCTCCTCTTGTCACCCACAGAAGGTGYCTTCCCTGGGTCACTGTTTCCCTCAGTCCCTGTGTGAAAGTCAGCCATGAGTGGCTGAAGACTATATTGGAAAACAGCTCTTGAAATAATTAAAGGGCACGGTTAAATGATGCCCATATGGATTTTGAATTAACAGTTGGCTCCTGCATGCCAATAATCCCGACGGGAAGAAGTGGCTGAGGATGTGTCAGGGCTGCGGCGGTTTGCAGAGACACGGAGTCCCCAGGAGACAGTAGGGTGCTTGGTGAAAGGGGCTGATAGCACCCGTGGTCTGTACATGGGAGGAGAAACAGGCAAGAGTGGCACGTTTCAGCGTTGCCATCCTAGCACTGGCTCCGTTTTTTTTTTTTTTTTTTTTAAAGGGGGTTCTTTACCCTCTTGTGTAATATATGATGTCAAATGTGATGTTTCTTGGATGCTGCAAGACCCAGAAAGCAAGGGACCCTGCTGCTGCAAAGCCTTGCGACCTCGAGATCTCATCTGAGGGGTGTTATTCAGCAGAAGTCCCCATGCAGCATGAGAATTGTGGCCGATTGGGATCCCATGTCCCTTTCTTGTTATCAGAAGGACTCGATAACCAGCCTTTCGCTCGCTGGGTGTGCAGCGGGACGCCCCGCGTGTCCTGCCGGGTGTTGGTTTGCCCGAGGACACCTGT